TTCCAAACCATTTTTTCAAAATTAACAAAAGTTACATTGTAACACTGATATCTGTCAGGAATCCCTGAATAACCCTTCAAATGTATATATTTTTAAAAGAAGACAACCTAAGGTATCAAACTTGGGGTATTTAGACTCTTTTCAAGCTCTTTTAATGCAACCATTTTACCACCAATCTATGCCAAATTTAAAATTAATAAAATAATTGGTGATTTGTTTGACACACATAGCAATTTAAGAATACATGTACTGAGAACTTTAAGGGTTACTGCCAAAGAACACCCCAATGTACAACATCTCCTGAGTACAGTGATACCATCCATGTATAGGTGTGTCAGGTTCTCCGGGGGCTAAAATACCTTATTTGGAGGGTGCGCATTCCTGTTTTCCAACTTGGAATTTTCACAGCTGGTCATCATGCACCCATGTCCTATTTGGGACATTTTTGAAGCCGGCCAATGTAATTTACCCCCATCAAAACATTTTTTTTTAAAGTAGACAACCCAGGGTATTTAATATGGGGTATGTCCAGTCTTTTTAGTAGCCACTTAGTCACAAACACTGGCCAAAGTTAGCATTTATATTTGTGTGTTAAAAATGCAATTATGAACGCTAACTTTGGTCAGTGTTTGTGACTAAGTGGCTGCTAAAAAGGACTGAACATACCCCATTTACAATACCTTGGGCTGTCTTCTTTTGCAAATGGTATGCCATCATGGGGGTAATTCTCATTCCTGGGCTACCATACGCTATCAAAGGCAAGATAACCAATCTGACAAACTGAAAAAAACTGAAAAGTCAAGCCTTTTATTTGACCCTGTAACTTTCAAAAACACTATAAAACCTGTACATGGGGGTACTGTTATACTTGGGAGACTTCGCTGAACACAAATATTCCTGTTTCAAAACAGTAAAATGTATCACAACAATATCACCAGTGAAAGTGCAGTTTGTGTGTGAAAAATGAAAAAAACTTCACTTTCACTGACAATATCATCGCTGTGATATGTTTTACTGTTTTGAATCACTAATATTTGTGCTCAGCAAAGTCTACTGAGTAAAACAGTATCCTCCATGTACAGGTTTAGGGTGTCTTGGAAAGTTACAGGGTTAAATATAGTGCTAGCAAATTAAATTCTCTGGACTTTCGGCCTGGGATGTCAGGCAAGTCCCCAAATTGCAATCAATAAAATTACTTAATTATGTAAAAATATTACATAAATATGCACATAGAATTTAAATATATATACAGGGAGTGCAGAATTATTAGGCAAATGAGTATTTTAACCACATCATCCTCTTTATGCATGTTGTCTTACTCCAAGCTGTATAGGCTCGAAAGCCTACTACCAATTAAGCATATTAGGTGATGTGCATCTCTGTAATGAGAAGGGGTGTGGTCTAATGACATCAACACCCTATATCAGGTGTGCATAATTATTAGGCAACTTCCTTTCCTTTGGCAAAATGGGTCAAAAGAAGGACTTGACAGGCTCAGAAAAGTCAAAAATAGTGAGATATCTTGCAGAGGGATACAGCACTCTTAAAATTGCAAAGCTTCTGAAGCGTGATCATCGAACAATCAAGCGTTTCATTCAAAATAGTCAACAGGGTCGCAAGAAGCGTGTGGAAAAACCAAGGCGCAAAATAACTGCCCATGAACTGAGAAAAGTCAAGCGTGCAGCTGCCACGATGCCACTTGCCACCAGTTTGGCCATATTTCAGAGCTGCAACATCACTGGAGTGCCCAAAAGCACAAGGTGTGCAATACTCAGAGACATGGCCAAGGTAAGAAAGGCTGAAAGACGACCACCACTGAACAAGACACACAAGCTGAAACGTCAAGACTGGGCCAAGAAATATCTCAAGACTGATTTTTCTAAGGTTTTATGGACTGATGAAATGAGAGTGAGTCTTGATGGGCCAGATGGATGGGCCCGTGGCTGGATTGGTAAAGGGCAGAGAGCTCCAGTCCGACTCAGACGCCAGCAAGGTGGAGGTGGAGTACTGGTTTGGGCTGGTATCATCAAAGATGAGCTTGTGGGGCCTTTTCGGGTTGAGGATGGAGTCAAGCTCAACTCCCAGTCCTACTGCCAGTTCCTGGAAGACACCTTCTTCAAGCAGTGGTACAGGAAGAAGTCTGCATCCTTCAAGAAAAACATGATTTTCATGCAGGACAATGCTCCATCACACGCGTCCAAGTACTCCACAGCGTGGCTGGCAAGAAAGGGTATAAAAGAAGAAAATCTAATGACATGGCCTCCTTGTTCACCTGATCTGAACCCCATTGAGAACCTGTGGTCCATCATCAAATGTGAGATTTACAAGGAGGGAAAACAGTACACCTCTCTGAACAGTGTCTGGGAGGCTGTGGTTGCTGCTGCACGCAATGTTGATGGTGAACAGATCAAAACACTGACAGAATCCATGGATGGCAGGCTTTTGAGTGTCCTTGCAAAGAAAGGTGGCTATATTGGTCACTGATTTGTTTTTGTTTTGTTTTTGAATGTCAGAAATGTATATTTGTGAATGTTGAGATGTTATATTGGTTTCACTGGTAATAATAAATAATTGAAATGGGTATATATTTGTTTTTTGTTAAGTTGCCTAATAATTATGCACAGTAATAGTCACCTGCACACACAGATATCCCCCTAACATAGCTAAAACTAAAAACAAACTAAAAACTACTTCCAAAAATATTCAGCTTTGATATTAATGAGTTTTTTGGGTTCATTGAGAACATGGTTGTTGTTCAATAATAAAATTAATCCTCAAAAATACAACTTGCCTAATAATTCTGCACTCCCTGTATTAATAAAAAAATACACTTAGTATGACATTATATATATATATATATATATGTACATATATATATAGATATATAGATATAATATATGATAGGTCTATATATATATATATATATATATATATATATGTATATATATATATAATATGTATATATATATTTTATTATTTTTTTAAAATTTATTAACTTTATTTTAATTTTTAACATTTTTAAATTTTTTCACCAGCAGGGGGACTGCCTGTCAAATAAAATCTTGCTCAACTAAAATAGTCAAAGTTTCAGTTTTAACAGCAAAACTTTCATCAGGACAGGTCCGCAAATGAACTGAAACGTTGATGATGTGATGTAACAGAATATAAAATAAAGTTTACATGAAACCTCTCCTTCGTGGTAAGTTATACATTGGAGAGTAGAGGTGCATCTTGGCAAGAACCCCGAAAAAGTGTGTGCAGGACTGTGGATCGTAACATTTCTACACACACAACATGGAAGATCCAACGCACTCACTCATTCACTAAACAGAAATATCAAGGCTCACAGAATTGAATAGTTTTAGTGAAAAACTACAAAAACAACCTCACGCAGGCAAAAATAATGGGGGTTTGGTAAAGTGTGTTTTGATATATTTTTATTGATAGATATTTACACAGTTCACAGAGAGAGGGGATTGATAGAAAGATTTGGGGAAGTTGATTTAGTATTAATATTTACTATTCTAACATTTGGATACATGGAATTACCTTCCAGCCAAGGCCTCAATTTAATATTCTTCGGTATCTTTTCAGATGACTTAATATTTTGGATATTTTAATTTTAATATTATGAACTATATTTACATTTTGTCATTGATATTTGTTATATATTGATATTTTTTATATATGATATATGTTTGATATCTTAAAATAATTTTAGAAGTTCATCCAAATATATGAAATAATTTGAAAAGCCATCCAACATTATTAAATTGAGGCCAGTGTTCATAGAATTTAATAAATAAAACATATTTAGGACATGAGTCATTCTCTGATTTGCTTTTTGGCATAATGTTTGTATACTATGACCCAACAAGCAACACAACGTCATGCAATCTATGATTTGTCATATGTTTTCACATATTCCAATTTCCATAACATGACTGGCATAACGTCCTATTGTATATCATCATCACGACTGCACTCAGAGCTCTACAATGTTTCTAGAAATCTGTGCGTTGTTACTAGTGCTGGATTTGCCATAAGGCCTCTGGATTGCATGGCCATGGGAATATCAAAGATCTCTCTTACTGGCAAGTCCATTCTTCTGTTGTGTTGCTGCAGGGCTAGTGCTCGAATAGAGGTAGGCCCTCCCTTGCCTGTATCATATTAAAGTATTCCTCCACTACACCATGTTCCCGTCTCATTACAGCCCTTATACCACATTATGCCCCTGTCTCCCCATTAAGGTCCCTTTCACATTAGAGCCATTGTCTTCCCCACTACAGCCCTTACCCCACCCCTTCAGCCCTTGTACCCATATTACAGCTTATTTCCCAACTACAGCCCCTATCACCCCACCACTACTGCCCCTATTCCAGCACTACAGCCCTTATATCTCCACTACAGCTAATGTGTCCCCACAATAGCCCATATTCCCCCATTACAGCCTCTATTACTACATTATAGCCCCTATACCCACACATTAGTATTATTTTATTATTTATATAGCGCCAGCAAATTCCATAGCACTGCAACCCCTATTCCCAATTACAGCCCCTATAACAACACATTACAGGCCCTAACCACCCAATCCGCACACTACACACTCTATCCCACAATTACAACACTCTCCCCCCTACTGCAGCCCCTGTTCACCCACTACAGCCCCTAGCTGGCCAATGCAGCTCCTTTTTCTCCATTACAGTCCCAACAACCCCTACTGCCCCAATATGGCCCCTCTCTCTCCCACCCCAGTACATTCCCTAATTAATAAAATATTTATAAAGAATTTGGGAAGACAATGAAAAACAAGAGATATATCCTCTGCCTGCAGAAACCATACTATGCAAATTTACCTGAATATGGCGCTTTACAGGCTCCACAGCCAAACCCACCTAGTTGGTAGAAAGTATCAGCAGGACAGGAGAGCACACAAAATATTTAACAATTAACAATAATACACATAAGAGTTATCCGTAGACCTACTTAAAGTATCCGTCTTATGCTCCTGGTGTCACACTACTGTTACATTCCTATTGCCTGGGGGCCCCATACGTTGTCAGTGCACCCCTGGCCAATATATGCAGAGTCCAAGCTTATCTAATTGAGTGTTTCCTATTTACACCTTGTGGTGTAGAGCTCAGTGATGCCAAATTATGTGCAGTCTAATGGATATTCAAGCAGGTAGATATTAACAATTTGCACTCCAGACTGGAATGTAATGAATTGTCCAATAATGATGATTCAGTTAACAGATAGTGATAACTTCCAGGAATCCAGTAAGATAAGACGTAATCGCAAGTAATGTCAATTGCCAGTGACTGGTATCTGATCACAGCCAGCGTGACACTTTGACCAACATTTACTTTCCCTGTTTACCCTTTGTGTTGCAAAACCTGCTGTTTATTCACTGGGTGGGGAGCGCAGCTATCATGCAAGCCGACTTAACTACAGCCTCACAGACAGCAATAAAAACATTCCTGATATATACACATTAGCAACTGCAACCGTTGAGTGCTATTCTGGCAATATCCAAAATTTGAAATAAAATATTGACTGCATTTGGCCATTAGTTGATGTGTCAATTTAAGGTTTGTTTTTTTTTGTTTTAAGTGACAAAACATGTATTTGCTATGTTTTTTTTTTTTAAACTAAATAAATATACTGAGAGTAAACATAAACCAGTGGAATGTACCCTGTTTGGAGAAGTAAGAGACATGCGCAAATCGACAATATGATGCGTTCCGGAATATATTGTTACTGTAGATATTTACTTGCAGAGGTATGTTAGACAAGAGCCTTTATATATTAGGGACTCAAGACATTTATTACAACTTTTATTAAATATAGGATCTAAAGATACTTACAGTTAGATCTGGAAATATTTGGACACTGACACAACTTTCATAATTTTGGCTCTATACGCCCGGACAATAGATTTTAAATGAAACAACCGAGATGCAATTGAAATGCTGACTTTCCGGTTCAATTCAAGGGGTTCAATAAATATATCATATGAAACATTTTGGAATTGCAACCATTTTCATACACAGTCTCCTTACTTCTGGGGCTCAAATGTAATTGGACAAATGAACACAACCAAAAATAAAATGTTAATTTTTAATACTTTGTCAAGAATCCTTTGCAGGCAATGACTGCTTGAAGTCTGGAACGCATGGACATCACCAAACACTGGATTTCCTCCTGTCTGATGATTGCCAGGCCTCAACTCCAGCTGTCTTCAGTTGTTGTTTGTTCATGGGTCTTTCTGCCTTACATTTTGTCTTCAGCAAATGAAATGCATGCTCAATCAGGTTGAGATCAGGTGACTCACCTGGCCACTGCAGAATATTCAACTTCTTTGACTTAAAAAACTTCTGGGTTGATTTTGTGGTATGTTTCGGGTCATTGTCCATCGTCCAATTAACATCTCTAAATTTGGCTGAATCTGGGCAGACAATATATCCCTATACACTTCAGAATTCATCCGGCTGCTTCTGTCTTCCATCACATCATCAGTAAACACTAGCGCAATTGGGAGCCATGCCTGCTCATGCCATCACACTGCCTTCACCGTGTTTTACAGAGGATCTGGTATGCTTTGGATCATGAGCCATTCTAAGCCTTCTCAATGCTTTTTTCTTTCCATCATTCTTTTACAGGTTGATTTTAGTTTTATCTGTCCAAAGAATGCTGTTCCAGAACTAGGCTGGCTTTTGTAGATGGGTTTTGGCAAAGCTTAATATGGCCTTTCTATTCTTGATGCTTATAAATGGTTTGCACCCTGTGACGAACCCTCTGTGTTTGCTTTTGTGAAGTCTTCTCTTTATGGTAGACTTGGATAATGATATGCCTACCTCCTGGAGAGTGTTCTTCACTTGGGTGGATCTTGTGAAGTGTTTTTTTTCCATGGAAAGGATCCTACAATCATCCACCACTGTTGTCTTCCATGGACATCCATGCCCTTTGTGTTGCAGAGCTCATTAGTGTATTCTTTTTTTCTGATGGATTTTTTTTTTACAGCTTAAGTTGGCCTGATTTACATACATTCATAGAGCTCCTTTAACCGCATGTTGTGGGTTAACAGCAACATCTTCCAAATTCAAATGCCACTCCTGGAATCAAGAGCCTGTATAATTGATGTATAAATAACAAAGGAATAGCCCACATCACTCCATGAAACAGTTTTTGAGTCAGTTGTCCAATTACTTTTGGTCCCCTGAAAAAGAGGAGGTTACATATTAAAGAGATGTAATTCTAAAACTCTTCCTACAATTTGGATGTGAATACCCTCAAATCAAAGCTGAGATACTGCACTTTAAGCCCAAATCCATTATTTAACTGTAACTTGAATTTATTTTTGCCGAAATAACAAAACATGTGTCAATGTCCAAATATTTCTGGACCTAACTGTATATTGTTAACTACTGATGTCAGTTGCTTATATACTAATTGTAGCCATGGTTTTGGTTTGGCATCAGTCAGATGTTATCTTCTTAATGATCCCTTCTTCCCAGGATCTCAGGCTAATACATTGGTGAATATAATTTAAATTTTTGTTGGAGCACAATTATTTTTAATTCAATGGTAATTTTTGTTTGCAGACACAAGGAGCAACAATAGGGGCCAGTTTTATATACCAGTTTCTGTATGTTTTTTTTGAAGAGTCCTATGTTTGGAATAACAACCAATAGAGGTGCAAACTGGCTTTTGATCATTGCTTCATAAATGATATTTTAATTATTTGGGATGGGGTAGGTTTGTTTGCTTCCTGGCTGAATGATAACCTCTTTAGTTTGTCTTTTACTTACAATGTTGGTTGTAATAACAGTATTGAATTTTTGGTTTTATTTTTGCACGGTGAGAGGGGCAGGGTGGTAACTAATACCTAACGCATACCTATCAAAAGCCATGGATGTTAATGATTAACATTAATAGTGAACACCATGCCCAATGGGCAGTTCCCTATCCTTATAGGCAGTTCCTAAGACTAAGATATACAGGGCCAGATTTCCCATAAGACTGCCAAGGTCAAGACCTCTGGGCGCCCACATGAGAGCACCGCTGGAACCTTGTATCATTGGTGGTACAGCAGGAGTGCTCGAACGAGAAAAGCTCTTTCCCCTTCTTGCCCAGCACCTGCAGTGGCAGGTCCTCTCTCCCTTGTAGGCAGCGTCATAACCCAATGCAACCTTCTGAACCTCTGGCTTCCCACAGTTCCTGCTGTAGTTCTCACACTGCTAGGCAAGAAGTAATGTGCACTTAGAGGGTGAATTAGAAGAGAGACACAGGTGAAGGAGGTAAGAGTAGAAGTGAACAACTGGGGGTAACAGGGGGAGAGAAGAGGAGAACAAGTGTCTGAAGGGGAGAGAGGTAACAGGTGATGGATGGGGGAGGAAAGGAGGAGAGTGTACCTCCGTTGATGGATGCTCCTAGCACTTCTTGAGGATTCCAAGCACTCTAGCCGACACCACAACCACCGCAGGCCGAACCTCTCTTCCTTCAGAGCGAAGCAGGAATGAGCTCTTAAAAGAATTTAGGAGTGATTATAGCAAGGGAATATTCAGAGCATAGCAATCTCTTCTAGCAGGTTCCCCCAATAAGAGACATGACTCCAAATTGAGGATGAAGTAGAACCGTCTAAAACTTTATTTTACTTGGGACTAGCCCAAATGGTCATTACATTAACATTGCTGTAAAAACTCAATAAAATTACAAACAGTCAAATCATAGCAGGCAACATACAGTGACTTATTATAACATAATTACATATTTATAAATGGGTGGGGAAGACCATAATTAACACAAAATGTCTCTCCTGCATGCAGAATTAGCGATATGCAAATCTACCCAAATATGCAAATTACCAGTCTTGCTCTTCAGGTAGTGCATATTACTGTTGCTACCCACAGAGGGCACTACAGAAGCTCCATAGCCAAGTCCACCTAGTTGATAGCAATCCTTAGCAGTACAGGAGAGCAGGCAATACATCCCAGGGGCCACAGTCACATGGCAGGAGGCTGGCAATCAGTCTTTTCAATGCCCAGTGGCGAGGCTGGTTCCTCCACAGAGAGCAATTGTGTAACGCAAGGTGGAAGAAACATGGGATTCAAGGAGGAGAGAAGAGGGGTTCAAGTAAGGGAAACAAGTGAGAAATGTGGGAAGAAATAGGGGAACAAGTTAGAAATGAGGGAAAGAGGAAGGGTACAAGGGAGGGATGGGAGAAGAAGAAGGGAACAGGTAAGAAATGGGGTAGAAGAAGTGGGACCAAATGAGGAATGGGGAAAAGAAAAGTGGAACAAGTAATGGAAGGGGGGACAAGAAGAGAGATCATTTAGAAAAGGAAGGGTACACATTGCCATTCAGCCACCCAACCAGCAGCATGCTCCGAATGAATCGTACTCCCCTATACATACAGTCAGATAATATTGCTAATGCTTTATGTGTAAATCCCTTTTATGATAACTGCTAATACAACCATATTTAATTATGACTTAATTGTATAAGTGTGGGTATGCCCCAATATATTTTCCACGACTTCATAGTACTGCAAGTCCATCTTGAGAAAGTCCTATTGAACGAAATGCATTGATGTTAAAGTGACGACACTAATGTAGCAGTTGTGGTGTATTGATCATGACCCTTAGGCACACCTGCCCTGGCTGTGACTGACACTGCCTGCATGAAATATTTATTTCATTCTCAATCAAATGTTAACTTGCTTTAGAAGTTTTTATCTCCTGTTCTGTAAATTGAACTGTAGTCATACACAGGCGGCTCCTTCAGGGTCTAGAAGGCTATTAACAGCACAGGAGATAAGAACAAATACATTAAACATACTTTGGAATAAAGGAAGTATAAACATTAGCTGACTCTTTACAGGGTTTGCTTAAGAAGGCTGTGTACGTCACATGTTGGGAGGTATGCCTAGGGCTGCATAAACAAAGTGACAACTCCAAAATAGCAGAAAATTAAGCAGTGAGAGCGGAGGGGCATTATCTATACACCAAAACTTCTTCATTAAGCTAAAGTTGTTTTGGCATAGTGTCCCTTTAAGGACACTATAGGCACAACTATTTATGCACACATCTGAAGAGTTTATATTCACAAGCCACTTCTGACTTATAGGCTTGTGGAGAGCCGAGATGTGTTTGTGGAGTCTAAAAAACTATACACGGTACTGCTGACTATTGTGGCAACAGAACCTGCATTCTATCTGCCTGGTTAGCGGAGATACCTGGAGGGATACTTACCTGGCAATAACCACTCCATGGACCAAATCATTCGTCTAAGGTTTCAGTAATTGGTTCTGGCATCTATCCAGCCCTGGTGACTAGTGCTTCTATTTTCTGCTCATTATATTGCACTTTA